GAATGATCTATTGTAATTGTAGATTTTTTTAACAAGTTAATTTTTTTTGATTAATATGTTTGTTTTGTTATTCACTTCAGATAGATATATTCAATATAGATAATAATAATTTTTACAAAACGTATGTGTGGTATGGTGCAAATATCCATGTTCAATTTACACTATAAAATTAAATAAATTAATAAATAAAAATTTTTTGTTACTTATCAGTTTTATTTATCCTTTTTTTTTCTAAAAACATTCGAAACATATTTCACACTGAGTGCACATTTATGTGCACTCTGTATTTATAACTGAATAAGAAAACTATAAGAGGCAATAGAGCGGCAACGTTGTATTTAGTTTCTTCGAATTTGTAGATGTCGCCTTTTAGCTTCTAAATGTCATTATTGAGTTCGCCATCTATTTGGTTTTGGTCTATGTATTGTATCAAATCAGCTAAAAGGAGGGATGGGCGCAACATTATACAATTACAGTAGATGCATTCTAATGTTCCCTGTGCCAATACCCTACTTTTAAAAATCCTTTAAACATTTGAACATCAACGCACCCTCTCTATGGTTATTAAATTTATTAGATACGGTTTTTTGTTGATAATGATAATAATAATACCTATATAAAAACTGTAAACATTTATAAACGTTCTTTTTTTATTTAGATTTAGTGCAATTCAGTTATCTGTGATGTCAACAACGAATTGATTCACGAACGAAGTCTGAATACAGAGTTTGGGAAAAAAAAGTGTACCAGTTTCATATGACGAGAACTGTACGTAACATTTCCTCCCCCTCTATTATAGGAAGACGATAAAGAAATGGAAAAGGTGATCTTTCAGTATCACCCAGCTGCTGTCCAGAAGTACAAATTTATCCCTGGTTGTGCATTGCCTACAGCAAGATGAGCATAACCTTACATGTACTGGGTAAATGATTATATAATTGAAACCCCAAAAAAAAAACGAAGAAGAAGACATCCGCCATCATTGTCTCTTCAGCAATCAACGTGTGTGTATAGTCCGTCCCAAACCCTTCTTTCAGTTCGTCATAGTTGTTCGAATTCTCTCTAACGCATTAAGCTAGAAGCGACAGAAAAAAATTCTGAACGGAATTGTGGATTGTTTGAAATATAATATTCATTTTTGTTAAATGTCAAACTTACATTCGGTATCTTGTTTTTTAACTAAACTCCATTAACACTATTTCATCTGGATACCGGAACTGGTAGACTAACTCAAAAATCAACTGCTTCACTAGTTAAACTATTTATATTGTTCTTTTAACTAAACTTCATAACACTTTCATTTGCATACCAAATCTGTCAGAATAACTCAAAAATCAACTGCTTAACTATTTAAACTATTTCCAATATTTAATATGATAAATCTTCACAAAATTAAACTATTGGCTGCCACAAAAACTTATCCAAATATGACTGATTTCAATCGATGATATTTTATCACAGGAATGTTTGCTTTGATGCCTTGCAATTGCCAGTAAATTTTTTTCTCTTAGTCAACTCTTAAGAGATTCTTGTAGGAAGCGTTATTTTAAATAAACAAACATTCTAATTCCATAGTGTTTTTAATAAATAATAATAAATCCATAAACAAATCTTAGTTAATTAAGCACTTTCCTTGGAATGTAAAGAATAGGAATTATGACAAACTGCCGTTCCGACAGTGGCGCACCCAGGGGGTCAACCCCCCCCCCCAGGACCCTATTCCGACACTGTTATTTACAAATTTTAAGACTTAATGGTGGAGGTAGCATATGAAAATTTCGGTGCCCAAACAAACCCCCCCCCCAAGAGGACAACTAGGTGCGCTACTGCGTTCCAATATAATGCGCAATGAAAATTTTTATACAGGACGGGACCTCTAATATGTAAATTAAATAAAAATTTAAATTGTTAAAGTTTTTACTCCACATTTAAAAAAATAACCTTTTCCAATTTAGCCAATTACGATCCTGCAACTGTCAGATTTAATTAAAATGTCATGCAATAATTCTCGACATTCCTAAAATCCTATATGGCGTCAAAATTAGTGACGCATTGAAAGAAGAGTTTAGGACAGTCTTTACTTCCACATTGGACTGCATAATGTAGTTTTTAATAATGTAGTCTATTGTTCTATTTTAATCGGATTACACCGCATTAAGTAATGTGTTTTGTCATTATTCACCTCAACCTGTGCGTTGCAACCTATTTACAATGAAATGATTTATTCTCGAGAATTCTATTTTGCACCTAACATGCCCTTATGTATTTATTATATTGATAAATAGAAAAAAGAACAGATAACTTGTTTTATTCTTATTAATAACATTTGGAACATTAAACAAACATTTTAAAACCAAAGCGCAGCTTTCAGTTTTTTGATGGATTAAACCTGTTGAAAATAACAACAAAGTCATATAAAATATGACTTTGATGACTTTGTTGACCATAAGAAACATAAGATTAAAATCGAACAGCAATATCAACAAAACCAGATACTATAATTTCCAAGACGCCAGCGTTACGGACACACCTAGAGATACTTGTGTTTAAGATTCTATAAAATTTACTGTCGATCGTGCCATGAATCACTGCAATCAGAAAAAATAATCAATCGATGTTAAGCATACAAACCATACAAGTTGCATTGTGTAAGGAGTTACAGAGGGAAAGATACAAAAACAGAATATGATTCAAACAGAAAAAGCGACATGACTGAATTAAAAAGTATTTTAAAAACACCAATGCAACACATGCACACAATGCTAAATCTTCCTGTTCACTGTAATCACCAAAATGTCAAAATGAATTATGAAACTAGGAGCCATCTGGAACGTTAATGGGCTAACACAGGATCATCATCCAGCATGCCTACAAAGTTGAACATAGGCGTTCCCTAATATCTTCCAGGTGTGCCTTGAGCTTCCTGCAGCTAGTTTCCATAGATTTTCTTAATGTCTGTCCATCGCGTAGGTAGAATACCTCTACGTCTCCTGTCTGCTCGTAGTTTCCACCACTACCCTGCATTCATTCTGGCCACATGGCCCGCTCAGTTCCACTTCAGCTATGTTATACGCTCAATGTTATCTGTGACAACTGTCCTTATTTTCCCCTTTCTAACCCTGTCTGAGAGTCAGTCCGTTGTAATGAACGTTCCATTCTTTTTTGGGCTACTCGACTTTGGTTGCTATGGCCTGGCTTAAGGAAAGCGTTTCGGCGCCGAAAGGGCATTGCTTGAAATACACATTGGTCGAACGTCTTCTTTTTTAGCATGTTGCTCTTGAAGATGTCTGATAGAGCTCCATATGCGAACCATCCTAAAATGATTCTTCATTTTAGGATGGTTCAGTGGTTTGTCTGTCCTAAGTTTTTATATTTATGAATTAATGCTATTTCGCTGTAATCAGCTTTTGGATTTCGCATGGTATCAGATTTACGATGTATTGTGTTTTTCCAAAATTTATGTTTAAACCAACTTCGTTTTTAAGTTTTTGCGTGGTGTGTGATGGAACATATTTTTGGAACTGGGGAAAATTTTTATAAATTAGGGTAAAAATGGTGAGTTTTAAGGCACTTTTCACACAATTTTGAGTGCCATAAAGACATTCAAAACCTATCGTTATTAAAGTATTTTTATTTGTCTAGCAACGAAAAATCAGCAAATTTAAACCTAAAACCCAATAAAGTCCAAAGAAAGAAATGTAGTCTAGTTTATGAAATTAAAAAAATCCGAGTAATATTGGTCGTTTAGTGCTGCACGCGGGACGTCCCGTCCCACCCTTTGTCCCGCGGGAAGAGACGGGACGCAGAACGAGATAGCGATTTTTGCTGCCAGACGGGAGAGCGATTTTTCTGCGGGTAAATAAATTTATTATTCTACTACCCCGACAAAAAAATAACATTAATACTAACCAAGACAAAGACAAACAATCTTATTAAAACTTTTTTTGCAGTTAGATTTTCTGCCGTTCAAAGTCAATATGGCATTAAAAACAGCCTTAGTCACCAGGTTGGCATTAAGAGAGCATTTTGTTTGTACAAGCTATCTTACTGGCAATGTTAATTTTAGTATGTTAATCAATGATATCCTTGACCTTAGAAACTCAGATGTGCACAAAGAATTCAGGAAAGTTTATGCAAGTATAGCAATTTTGGGATCCTTCCATGTTGAGATAGATATTATTGCTTCAATTATAATATATAAAATGCCAGATGTGAACTGAATTACTTTCATAGTGCTCAACCGAACTTGTTTCGCATAAACTTGCTAAATTTTGTACGATTTTCAGTTTTAAAATTTCATTTCTCTTGGCTGACATGTTAAAAAATGATATTACTGACTTCATTGTTCCCACTGTGTTTGTGATCTACCATACATTAATAGAAGTTAAAAGGGAGTTGTTTAAAATATGGTTTAGGCAATGAGGTCTAACTGCATTTATTTTGACCTTTTTTATTTCTGTTACTGCACCGACTGTTTCAGAGATCATTACAATTCAAATAAAAAAATAACTTAAAAAGGCGACTTAAATATTTGTACATCCCCTAGTTATTGGCTGCTTTATTTTGGATAATTTTGTTATGAAAATATGATAAATTTTATTATTTTAAAATTGTACCATAGTTTAAAAAAAGAAATAGCAAATTTGGTCCAGTATAACTCGAGATGCGTCATTTTTTTACGAGAGTTCTATTTTGAAACTGTTGAATTTTTGAAGAGCGTAGCTGGCAACTTCAGTCGGTGTCGGTTACCCTCAATTCTTTTTCTCTAGTCGGAATGAAAACTCTCTTTGTTATAACACTCCTGTATTTATTATTAAATCATTTTGTGTACATAAATGTATTTTTTTAACATTTTTTTTCATTGGTTATTAGTACACTTCTTAAAAAAGAAAAAGTATTTAAGGAAAAAAATAGTACTTACGTGACCGGAAATGAAAAGCAATCATTAGGGATTCATATATCTAGAAGTAAAACATGCCAATGAAAATAAAGCACAAAAATCAAATTTTTAAAAATATTTTTATTCAAAAAAATATAACATAACTTATTTAACGGGTTTCATTTGCCAGAGTCCATCGTTTAGGTAATGACAATTTTCCACACCAACTCCTTTGTTCACTTTCGCTCTAAAACAGAATTTATTCAATATCGCTTAGGTTGTGTACTGAAAACAAAACTTACATGTCCTCTGTAGATAATGAAGTTCTCCCAATAGCTAAGGCATGCTCTTTACCCTCGGCCATTATAGCCTGAAATATTAAAGTTTATATTAATTATTAATATGTTCGTAAAGGTGCTTTACGTCACTGACTTAGTTGGAAAACTGGGTTTTTATAATGATCAAATATTTAGTCCCTATGTCGCCAAAACGTCATTTTCATTGATAGAAACACAAAAAAGTTACTGTGTATTATGTAGGTACTCTAGGAAGAATGACAGTTTTGTGTAGCTTTGTGCTCTTCCAAGCTTCCAAGGTAAAGTCAAGGTTGTTAGTTACAAAAGTGGGAAAAGAGCAAGTATGATAAATGTTTCTATAATGAAAAACTTTTTCGGTAATGAAAACATAAATGTAAATATTTTTGATACTGAATGGCAAATAAAATACTGCATATTGTCCATATTGCGATATGATGTAAAGGAATAGATATCTCACTGGATAATAGATATATATCCCCACGTCTAACACTGAAGTACTGAGTCAAATCAGCCTTTGTAGAATGGACCACACGATGAAAAATAGCATATTTAAATCAGATGTAATATATGAAAGGCAATATAGCTAGTTATAAAAGTAAATAAGGGTACTATATACATGTCAGGTATCACAGCTGATATCATTGATAGGAAGGCACTAAATAAAAAAGGAAATCATACCAATTTAGAAGTACTAACGAATTTTTAATTATCTATAAATAAAAAACTTTGGTCAATGATTGATACTATGGAAATGTAAAGACTATACTTCACAAAAAATTTATGTCGAAACTATCATCATCATCATTGGCTTTTACAACTCTTCGTGAGTTTTTGCCGCGTTTACTATTGCCTTCCATTGATTCCGATCCTGTGCTATTATTTCCCATGGCCTTACTTCCATCTTCTCCAGGTCTTCCCTGACAGCGTCTTTCCACCTTTTTCTAGGCCTTCCTGTCGATCTTTTACCATCTGGTCTTTCCCAAAATACATTGCTAATCAGTCTGTCGTCATCACTCCGTACCACGTGGCCTGCCCATCTTAATCTATTGGCTTTTATGTCTCTTACGATGAAGGATCATAACACTTAGTGAGCATACACCCATGACTCATAGAGACATTGCAAAGGAGTGTTATGTAATTTTGGTGCAGTAAACAAAATAATTAAACAAAAGAAAGGAAACAGGGTCAGTTGAAGTGCAGCGGAAAGGAAAATGTGGAAGAAAACAGAAGACTGCTCCTTTGAAATGAATCCTTTCTTTTCCGTGATACCAAACTTCATCCCAGAAAAACAAGTTATGACCTCCAGCAAAATTTAGAAAAGACTGGAATACATCACGAGTCAATGTTAAGCAGAAGTCTCTTAGAAGGAGGGAGAAGAGCTGTGAGACTGTAGAAGAAACAACTTCTGACAGGGCCTATGATGAAAAACGACTAAATTGGGCAAAAAATATGCTCATTGGAGTGCAGAAGATTGGAGAAAAGTGTTATTTTCTGATAAGACCCACTTCCTAGAGCAGGGCTAGCGATCAGAATTTGTACAAAAGGCAACCAATGAGTCACTTTCAGCTAGTAAACAGTTAAACATCCCAACAAAAAAATGTTCTGGGGCTATTTTTCATACTCAGGAACTAGCACTCGTATTCCTATTGAAGGTATGATGAACAGTGAAAAGTACAAAGCCATGCTAGGGCAACGCTTAGCTATAGAGCTTGACAAAGTACAGGCTGAAGGGACTGCAATTTTTCAACAAGATTCAGCTCTTTGCCATGTATCGAAGGTTATGATGAAATACATCAAGGATAATATTACCCTTCTTGATTGGTCTGGAAACTCACCTGACCTTTATCCTATTGAAAGTTTGTGGCTAATATGTAAGGCCAAACTGGAAAAATTTGACTGTATGACAAAAACAAAAATGGTGGAAGCAGTGAGTAAGGTGTGGTTTAGAGATGAAGCAATCACAAACAATTGCAAAAAACTTGTGGATTCCATGCCTAGAAGACTTCAAGAAGCCATAAAAGTAAAAGGGGACATATTAAATACTAATTAATGAAAAAATCTCATGTAAGTGTACCTAAATTAACCTTTGGCCTAAATAACTCATATTTACTATTGTCTATTTTATTGCATCGAAAACATTAATAAAACAGGCAGACACACTCCATTCCAAACATTGTATGGATTTATCTTCATACAATCTGCACCGTCTGTATAAAAAGGTTGTACCTGCAAGACACAGCAGAGGCTTGATTTCATGAAGACACATTATAGGACCGTAATAATTCAGAACAGAAAATGTCTCTAAAAAATGTTTTTTAACATACATTTGACATTTCTATATGTAGATTTCGCAGATTTCAATGAAGTTGTTTATTCAAAAACAATCATCAAAAAATATAATTATTTTCCACATTAAGGTGTTTCCAAAATACATTAGACATTACTTGAGAAAAGACAATCTGAATACTAAACACCTACCCAGTGATTTAAATATTAGTAAGATGTATAAACTATACATCTCTTTGTATTGAACATAATGAGGAACCTATGAAATAATCATGTTGTAGATTTATCTGTAACACTGAGTTAAATTTGAAACTGCACAAGCCTTATAGTGACATGCAGCCACTGTGACAATTTTCAAAACTTGATAAAATATTCTGAAAATTAGGAAACTGTAACATAAGAGAAAGCTGATGATGCCAAAACATTAGATCATTATTCATTTCAATTTGCAACAGACATTACCACTACACCACTAGTAACTACATCCAAGCCATTTTCTCTTTGTCAACTATGGATATTCAATTTTTGCATATATAACTTACTTTCTGGACATAGTCACATGGTTTTATGGAATGAAACAATTGCAGCAAAAGGTTCACAAAAAACAGGCTTGTCTGATAAAATTTATCAAGAGTATGCCCCAAAATATCACAAAGTTAATTACATGCAGTGATTCTTGAAGGGGGCAGAATAAAAACAAAAATATCTGTAGACTGTTCACTTTATTGTACTATTCTTCAAAGCTATTTATATCACAAAGATTTGTCACAAGTTTCTCGAACTGGCTGAAACCTATATGGAGTGTGAATGCACTTTCAGTTTAATTAAAAAAGAAAACAACAAATTCCCCAAGTTTTTTTTCCAGCCAATTAGGAACTATATTAAAAATTCATCTTCAAAGTTTGTTGTTTCTAACATCACAACAGAAGACTTTTACTTGTTTTCCCTACAGATTCTGAAAATAATTCAGATATTGCCATGATGCAGTATCTCTTGTTTAGAATATTTTCTAACAGAAAATCTCGCTTTTAGGTACAAGTATACTTTAAATCAGGATTTTGAGTTTTCAATCCATATTATGGGAAAGGCACAATCTATCTTTTTAGCACTCCAAATTGAGACCTATTGATGACACTAAATAACCAAATATAAATATAAAAATGCCAAATATAAACATCTCCTAAGCCTTTTGGACTAGGTATATCCTTTTATGTCACCACTCCTAAGAGAATTTGAAACACACTAGAATATCAAAGACTGATGCTGTAAAACCGAAGTCAGGTGCAAGCAGAAACAAAAAAAATGATGTAGAAGATATTCTATTAGAGACAGATTATGAGTGACACACTACCTTGTAATAATAACAAGTTAATGTTCACAAAATAGAGTTTTAGTTGTAAAAGTTTCTTTACTATTTTTTGCCTAATATTTTTTAATAAAATATCACATATACCTACCACTATAGTATCCTTGGAAACTTCAGTCATTTTTGCTCCAGGTGATGTCAAACCTGGACACATAATATTTGCTCCACTTAAAACAAATCTTATGGCACCTTTATCAACTTGTTGCATTGGTAAAAAGAAAGGATCTGAAAAAGAACTATTGCAATAACTGTTCACTATTATAAGTCTTATGCATGAAAAATATATAAACAAACTTACACTTGTGCAAAAGTTTTAGTGTAGGCATCCATTGGCTCTCCCTTTGGCGGAAAAATAACAAATCTCCACTTGAGTTGACTACAATTTCTATATGGTCATGGCTAAAAACACATATTTTAAGATACATAAAATTTTTAAAATTTGTTCTCGCACTGTAGTATTACCATTTAACTATCCTAAGAGAATCTTTCTTGGGTAAAATAGCGTCTATATAGTTTTCTAAATGTGGATAGGATTCAATAAGTTTGGCTCTAATGGCTTTTTGGACAGACGATTTTAACTGCAAAACTCCGGAAATACTTTCCTTTTCATCGAACCTAAGCAGGAATAAAACATTGTATTTTGATTTTTCACATTTAAAAATTTTTACTTACTTTTTAAACATTGTTGAAAAAAATTTCGGTTTCAGACACCAACCTATTTTATTAGAGGTTATGAATAGACAAAATTATTGTCAATGTCAAAAATCAACAGACAATTAATGGCCAACTTCAGTTTGCAGTAACTTGTGTTTATGTATGTATGTTCATGTTGGTATTTAATTGCGAATTTTCCAAAGCAAAGAAAGTCAGCGAAATATTAGAGATCAAAGAAGATATCTCTGGTATTAAAAATCTTAAAATTGAATAGATTTTTAAGGCGTTTAATGGGATTGATCGATGATGAGCTTACAGAAGTCAGAAAATTGTGTGAACATGTTGTCCCAGGAACTAAACTTGTGTCTTGTGTCAGGACAATGGTTCGAGCAGAAATAAAAAGAACCGATTTTAAGAAAATTGTCGTCTGTATTCAATTTCCAACTGATTATCCCAAAATACCTCTACTCATAGAATTAAAAAGTAAAACTTTATCTGAAAAGTTACTACAAAAACTGACTGATGTCTGTGAGCAAGAAATAAAAAAATCTTTGGGGAAACCTCAAGTACTTAATACTATAAAATTTTTGCGCAATTTTATCGATGAGAATGCACTTTCTTGTTGTTATGATGAAATAACTAACATAAGAAAATTACTTCAGTCTGAAGACGAAATTAAGTTAAAGCAGAAAAGTTCATCAATTACATTAAAGATCAACAACAAAAAGTACTTTTTAGTTTGTAAAGTTTTTATTCCAGATGATTATCCCATAAGTGCCATTGGGTAAGTATTTAATACATATTAATAAGTCCTTGTGCCAATCTCTCTCTGAATAGGTGCCTAGTGCAATCCTTTTTTAATGAAATATGTTTTTTGTTAATTTTTAAGATACACTATCATTGATGCTTGAAAACTGCCTTTCCCTGATTTTGCCCGTGGTAAACCCAATTGAATCTCCTCTCAAATATACATTTTCTCTCTTAAAAGTCTCACATGCTGGACTTGTTGTTATTCATTAGAAAGTAATGGGTTTCTTTTTTTTGACAGTATAATAGTGATCATGTTACATTGTCCAATTTCTTCATGATTCTTCTTCTTCGCGTGCCATATCAGATTTATCTGATGTGGGAGATCACCATTGCGAAGGCTTCTCGATCTTCTGCAATATGGAATAATTGTCCTGCATTTGGTATCTCAGTCCATTCACGAATGTTTTTTAACCAAGAAACTTGTTTTCTTCCTACACTTCTATGGCAATCTATTTTGCCTTTAAGGATCAGTTCTAAAATTTTATATCGACTTCGCCTTACTATATGTCCCAAATAAGACATTTTTCGATGTTTAACAGTCTTTAGCAGTTCTCTGTCTTTGTTGACGCTCCTTAGTACTTCTTCATTAGTTTTTCTTGATGTCCAAGGTATTTTCAGCATTTGTCTATGAACCCACATTTCCAATGCTTCAATTTCATTCTTTGCCTTAGTTCTAAACTGAGATGGTTATTGCAAAGAAATGACTTCATTTTCATAAAAGTGGTTTTAGCCATTGCTATTCTACGTCTTATTTCTATGTCTGGATCTAGTTGGTCAGTTATCACAGTTCCCAAATATGTCATTTTGTGAACTCTCTCAACTTGGACTCCGTTCAATTGAAGCTTTGGATTGGGATGTGGGTCACGACTAAACACCAAAAATTTGGTTTTGTTTGAGTTTATTTTAATGTCCATTTCCTCTCCTACCTCGTGTATACAATCAAGTAGAATTTGAAGACTTTCAATATTATCTGATAGAATTACTGTATCATCTGCATATCTAATCACATTAAGTAGTTCCCCGTTGATTTCTATTGTATATGGTTGTCTCTCAAGTGCCTTTTTAAATAACTGGTCCGAGTAAACATTGAACAATGTTGGTGACAAAATGCAACCTTGTCTGACTCCTCGTTGTATGGGGATTTCATCAGTGTAGTTATCTCTAATTTTTACGATAGCAGTTTGATTCTAGTACAAATTTTTAATGACACGAATATCCTTGTCATCTATTCCGATATTTTTCAGTATTTGGATTAATTTTACATGTTGTACTTTCTCGAATGCCTTTTCGAAGTCCACGAAACATGCAAATACACCTTTTCTTTGGTCATGGCATTTTTGTAATAGGATGTTAAGCGCAAAAAGTGCCTCCCTGGTTCCCATAGCATTTCTAAAACCAAATTGGGTATCTTCAAGATCTTCTTCGCATTTGCGTCTAATTCTGTTGTGAAATATTCTGAGGAAAATTTTAAGAGTGTGGCTCATTAGACTAATTAATCGATATTCTGAGCATTTTCTCGCATTGTGTTTTTTAGGTATTGCGATAAAGATGGATTTGAGCCAATCTGTGGGAATCACTCCGGTGTTATATATTGAATTAAAAAGTCTTCATGATATAGAGATAAATTGTCATTGACTCAGATTTTGCTCAAAATATTGCAAGATGATATTCCTATTGCATTTCAGTATGATAGTGAGAAATATCATATGAACTCCCATTGTTCCTCATCGTTTTTGTTATTTGTTCTTTGGATGTTAAATCATTTGTTTAATAATTTTTCAGGTTTTTATTCTTGATAACATTTTTTGATTCTTGATAACTTTTTTTGATTCTTGATAACTTTTTTTGGTTCTTGATAACTTTTCATTGCATTGTGTTATTTTTAATACCTTCACTGTGATGATAAAAAATGATACTAATACAATTGTATCATTACTAGTTATGTATGACTGTTGTAATATATTTCTATTATAATGTACAATAAACCTGTAATGTATAAAAATCTGTTAAACAAATAAAATGAGCTGTAAAGATGTCCCCAATGCTAATGCAAATGTTTTGAAGGACACAACAGCCAGAGTTGAGAAGTGTGTCAAAATATCTAGACTGGGAATACTTAAATAGTTTATTTAAAATCAAGTCACTAAGAAAGTAAATTAAAAAAGAATCATAATAATTGAAAAGGAAGGAGATTATACAAAAATCGAACTAAATAGAAAGGTTGCTGCTTTATTATTTCAATAATTACCTGAGAGATAAGGAGGAAGATTCTGGATTTTAAAAAAATCATTAAATACAAATTAAAAAATGTATAATAGGTTTAACATTTTTCAAAACAGACAGACTTACAGTAAAAATGATAGACCATGTTATTGTGTACTCTTCGCTAATTGTAGAATATTCGCTTGCAATTAGATTCATCAAAACTGTAATAATGTATTATAATATTTGTTGCTTATATTAGTACTTACATTTAATCATTTTCACAGCTTAATATGTCTATTTAAGGGAGATTACCATTACTCTCAGTATCACTACTATTGTTCTGTTCATTAAATTCAATTGGTTTTCAACCTCAAAGATGTGTCTGTGATACCTGACCTTCACCTGAGTGTTGTTTTTAATAGATAAACAGTGGATGACAATATTCCTGTTATACATTCACAACACCTTATTGCTTCTGCTTGAGACAATGTTTTTCTCAAATATTCATATACATTAGGCACTATTTGTTTAGCTTCAAGTCACAACTGTTTGTAAGAACTTTGACATTTGAACTCTCCCTGCTAGTACTAGATTCTTTCATTTTTATTTAATTAAACTTATAACTCTGAGAAAACAAAATATAAGCTGACTATATATGCACACTTTCTCTGCTACTGACAGGCTTCCTGGTAACATTCATTGCCATAGCTAAACACTTTTCATTTCACTTATTATTTGCCAGACTGTAGCTATATTTATTAATGTTTAAATCAAAAGCTCAGTGTAACAAATTGGACAGATCTTAAATTACATATTACAGAAACAGAAATGTCCATAGAAAAAAATTATACTTTTAAAACATAATGTATCTTTATAAGAATTTTATTATTATTTCTCTCGATGACGTGATACATATTGAATTTCAAAGTGCTCCATATAATAAAAGTCATTCAAAATAAAAAAAGAAGATAACTAAAAATTAAGAACTTACTTTGGTGATAATCATATCATGATATGTATGTAGGATAATTTATCTCTTAACTCTCTATAGGACCATAAAACGTTAAATATAATAATAATTAAATATAATAATAATAATAAGTCAAATTCATTCAATATATATTCTAAAATACATGTTCGAACAATTGAATTCTATTGGTTTTGTATAGAAATTTCAAAAAAGGGTGATAAAAAAATGACAACGTCAAATATGTTGTCTTATGGCATTGCTAGGAGAACCACACACTCCAATTAATTCATTGTGGGCTGTTACATGGATAAAAATAGAAACCAAATTTGGTATTTATTCCTCTATAGTCTGTAATATGAAGGTGTATTGTGTGTTTCAATATTCGACTTGTGGAAAGCAGTAATATATGCTTTACAACTATGTATCCAAATATACACTGTACAATAATGACTGAATTTCCGTAACAAAAACTAAAGGACATTAAAATACTTTTACCAGATATTGAAAGTGATAATGATTATAATAGCGATGATAGCATTACACATGAAACTTATCTGCCAAATATGTTGGATGGTTTTTTCCTACATTTTGCAACATTTTTTTAGTAAATTATGGTTTGTAGATTCTAGTAGTGATGACCAGAGTATTGAAGGTGAAGAGTTGCATTAGCAAGTGGATTCTTTTGATGACAAAGACTTAACGCTACCTCTATAAGATGTAACAAATCAAGTTCAAAACTCTATAATTTATGCAAAAAAGAAAATGTATCTGAAATGGAAAAATTTGAAAAATGAGGAAGATCAAATGTCTCTTTGGCATTCCAATCTAGATCCTGAAACTCAAATTGAAACTCCCATCCAATATTTTCATAAATTAGTTGATAATGCTCTGATTTTAGATTATATGGTGGAGCAATAAAAGTTGTACACCATACAGATGGATATATTTGCAATCTTTTCAATGAATTTCAAAGTTCTGGAACAGTTTTTAGGTACATATTTTCATATGTCCCGATATTGGTACCAAGTAATTGTTAAGGTGTGGATTTGGAAAATAAATAGTCGTACTTTACTACTATTATAAAAGGCTTTATTTCCTATAACATACATACTAATTAACTAACCTAACTTAAGCCACCATACTTCTTACTACCACCTACAACAACATGATACTTATTGACATTACTATTATTGTCTGTCATGTCAACCCATGACACTATGGGTGCGTTCCGCTTACTCTTACACCAATATATCTGTGTATACAATATAAATGTATTACATTCTCAACACGCCTCCTTACATTTACATTGTATTTACATTAATTCAAATTTAACATACTTCGAAATTTTTCAAATTTATCTTGGCCCAAGGACTTCGTAAAAATATCTGCAATATTATCATCAGAATCTACTTTAACCACATTTATAACATTTGCTTTAACATAATCATTTACATAATGATAATGAATTTCAACATGCTTAGAATTTTTTGTAAAATTGCCATAATTAGCTATACTAATTGTACCAGTGTTATCTTCATAAACATCAATTGGCTTTATTATTTCAATATCAAATATTTTCAACAATTCTTTTACAAATATCAATTCACTTACTGCTTCTGACAATGCTACATACTCTGCAAAAGTTGAAGCTTTTGTAACGCTTTTTTGTTTTCTAGATTTCCAATAAATTACATTACCAAACAATCTTATTACAAAACCAGTTGTAGACTTTCTATCTAAATGATCACCTGCCCAATCGGCATCCACATAACAATCAATAATACTTACTTTTTCATTTC